CAGTCAATCAGCCCATCATGAGACTAGGAATAATTCCTATGATGAGCAGGGTGATAGAACGCCGTCAGAAGACATTTCTGAAGAACATCGGAGACCCTTCTCTCGCCTCCGAAGATCAGAAATCTCTGAGGCGGAATATGCCATAGACGGCAGAAGAAAAGAGCACTCATTTGACGCAATTGTCACGTATAATGACAGAAACGATCGATTCAGAGTGCGATGGACCGATTATGATGAGTCGGGTGACACTTGGGAACCAGGGCGTAATTTGCCTTTCAACTCCGTTGTCCGCTATTTCACCTGACGGGGCCGTCAGGTTCCAGAACACCTTCGCCATCTTCTGGCTACGACACATTAGTCAAAAATGCCCTGGTATCTTAAAGCCTTTTACAAAAATGGCTTTGACGATTGTCGGATGGGACACTCGAGAAAATTGGAGACGCTCAAGAAAAAGGGCTGTGTAGAATTTGTTCAGTCGTGAGATCGATATTCGGCTCAGGCAAGGCGTGCGCCGGTTCAACAGGGACGCACGTCGTGCAGGAAATTTGGAGAGGAGGAATGCTCTGCGAAATATCAATCTCGATATCAGCAGGCACATCTAGATCTTTGATCTCCTCCTTGCTCTCCGAGTATGAGGGACACGCTGTCACAAGGCCGCGCAAAGGTCAGAATCAAGTGCAGCGTCGGGACGGCTTCGGTTTGGGCGGGGCCCGTGTGGTTACACAGCCCAGAGTTGTAATTTGTACAGCACCCGCCGCCGCGGGTTCATTACAGGCGCGCGACTACACGTGTGCCTTACAGGCGGGCGAACTACACGTGGGCATTACAGGCCGACGACGTACTGTATACATTACAGCCCCAAGGTTGTATATGACAAGGTACAGTAGTAATGGCATAGCACAGTGCATTGCGCGGCAGAGTACAGTAGTACAGTAGGATGGACAATGTCCAAGACCCGGCAACCTCGCTTATTTAAGCGACGGCGCCGGGCAACGACAGTAAACAGTCAAGGATCTTTTGGGAACGGACTTCCTTCGACGGTGTGACACCGCGGGTCAAGACAAGCCTCTGACTTACGCGACATTGTCGGCATCTGTCTTGCGACGTTTCCCTGGCTCTATTGCCTTTACAATTTCCTTCTCCTTTCCTCTGTCGTTGCGACCACGCGGGTTAAGACTAGCTTCTAACCTCGGCGTATTACTGTCGCTCAACGTTTCTATTGTTTTCCTTTTTCCTCTGTCGTTGCGACCACGCGGGCTAAGACTAGCCTCTAGCCTAGGCGTATTACTGTCGCACGACCTATTTCTCTCTCCCTACATTGTGACGATTGTGAAGTCGCGGGCTACGACAAGCCTCTCGCCTTGGTGACACTATTGACATCTGTCCCGCTCGTTCCCTCTAGGAGTTCCCGCTACTCGGCGCTACGCCCGTTTCTGACACTAGTCTCTAGGCTCGGGTTCCCCCCTGTTTTGTGTGTTCTTACACCACCCCTTCCCGTGCTGGTCCGATTCCGGGTCCGCACTTTGACCAATACGTCGTGCTTTTAAAGTCGGCCGACGTACTTCTCCTTTGCTCTACCACCGTCCGGAGCTACCGCGGGACACCCTATGGGTTGTTACCTCTTCCTCGAGCTAGCTCATAGCTGGGTACCGCCACTATACTACATTCGACCGCAATGTAGTACAGTATATAGTGTCGTTGGCGCTTGCACCGTGTGGGTTTGGGGACAACCAACCAAGGACCAAGTACGCGACTCTCGTTCTTGGTTTTGCACGGTACTAACTAACTTCTTCTCGTTCACGCTCCCTCGTTCTTCTCGCTCACGCCCTAGGACTCTCGTGGCCACGTCACGTGTTGCCTCCCCGCTCGCGCGCACGGTTCGGTGGCCGTGTATTAGCCTCGCCGGGTCGAGAGCACCGCGTCGTGCGCTTCTAGTTTCCGTGGTTCGCGAGCACACCCGAGTTTTACAGTCGCCCGAAAGCCTCTACTGCTTCCCCCTAGCTATCTAGTACACGCCCCCACGAACGAACCTTGTCTTAGCACGTGACCTCGTTTCGCGTTCTACTACACTTGTGTGGCTGTGAATGCTACAAGTACGCATCGACTAGCCATGTCGTGTACGGACAAGACGTTGTGTTGAATATGCTTGTTCACTACAGCATGTGTGTATTGGGTCCTATTCTTGGCGATTTTCAGTCGCATTGTTCCACTGTACGTGCATGTGGTCTGTTGTTGCGACGCTGTCTGCGTTCGTAACGTCTTGGTGAGTGGTTGCATGCAGGGGGGGTGAAGGATGTAGGTGGGACGGGCCTCACTGTCGAGCACGAACGTACCCGGGAAGTCTGTATCGGCTTCTAACATGACCAGAATGGGTTGGTTGTCTTGCTGGTGTTGCTGTTGTATGGCTTGGAAAGCGTGGTAAGGGGGACAGTGTGGCTGGTGCGGGACCGGTCCTGCGCACGGGAAGTGTGATTGAGGTTTGATGTTGCGATATTTGGGGTGTCCTCGATCTCGGCACTGTGCGTCAGTGTGATTGAAACGTATATACGTTGCAATCACACTGACACACAGTGATATCCCTAGTGCCTTGTAGAGCGAGCAGAGTTTGTTGATCAGTATGTGACGGATGTCAGGGGGGGAGGCTTCCGAAATTTGGGCGATTGTTGTAGTTTTTTGATACATGTCCGTAGTCCCCGGTGATTCGTGTGAAGTTAGTGTGTATGGTGCTTGTGGGTCGCTGCAATTGGTAAAGACCATGTAGGGACTTAAAAAATCTAGTGAATTCACGATTGGTTTGCGGTTTGTAGACCCGGAGATGGACGAGAATTGGCGTGAGTATGGGTACTTGCTGAGGCCGTTGATGATGAAGTCGAAAGAGGTTTCTTCATCCTTAATGCTGAGATATTTGGCTGGCACCATCTTTTGACGTACTTGGAGGTGGTGGGTGAGGTAATTGTAGTAGAACGTGCCGCGCTCGACCGGCTTCGGGTAGTGGGGGCTGTGACAGGTCGTACTGTAGTTGGCGGCGTGCGAGACGCGACGAGTCCCGTGCACACGTGTAGTAAGAACCACAAAACAAGACAGAGGGGAGGTGAGTAGCTCGTTGGCAGAGGTTTTGGTAGAGCAGTGTGGGTTCGACACAACGATGCCACGAAAGGCAGATCGACGTCCTCGAAGTGATAACTCGACGCCGTGCGGAGGCGAAGTCGTCACGGAGGACAAATCCGGGCGTTATGCGGAGCGTTCGTCGTGCGTTACCCCTGCGGTGGGTACTTCTCGTTGTACTCGATGTACTGAAGAAAACGCAAATCGTAGTCAGGCGAAAGACTTAGGCATAAAACCAAGGGACAAAGGAGTCGGCCCTCGAGATTATTCCACCGGTGATGATCATCCCCTCGAGTCCTTCCCCTTCCCTACTTCCCCTTTCCTTATTTTGTTATATCTACTACTGTAGTCCCCGTTCTTACAGTGGCAGACTGTAACGGTACGACTACACGTCGGGCAGTAACGGTCCAGCACTTGGACGCCAGCGAGGTACGCCGGTATCATACATTAGACAGTATGATTTGAGTACAGTACGTACACGGACGCGAATTGCGCTGCCCAACTTACCGGGCGATAAGGTAATTATCTTTCGAATTGGGAATTAACCAATGCGGTCCTTGTCATACACCATCGGGTGTTCGAGTACAGTATGTGCACTAGTGAAAACTTGGCGATATACCACAGTAATATCGATATTAATGTTTTCCAGCCCAATGCTCTCTGCTCCGATTTGGAGGAACGGGCGCTCTTCTTTTGTGGATTGATTGATATGTGCCATTTTTTTTGTATGAGACCATAGTATGATCTCATACAACAAATAATCGTATGATCATCATAGGGGGTTGTTGTCTCTTGTGGTACGAGTAGGAGTCCTTAAAATATGCATAGGGATGCTGCTCAAGACTGCTGACAGGAGACGGTTTTGACTTTTCTCGAATGTCTTCAGCTGCTGGTTGTCATTTGGTCGGGGAGGGTTGCTGATCAGGTGGTCGGAGGGTTCTGAAACGCACGGAAATTTGACTGAGCTGCAACACCTTGATCCAAGAAGCACCATGGAGCCCAAATGCTCAGTACAGCAGCTCCGAAAGGTCCCAACAATTCATATTAATTGGCGTCAAGATAATTGTCGCGCTCAAAGCGCGCAGGTGGGACATACCGTGTAAGGCCGCGAGCCAAGTCGCTCTACGAAAGGTTCGTCTGCATTTAAGAGAGCACTGTCCTTCTGCCGTGCAATTGCATTTACAGGCACGCTACCTCTCCGATGCATTTATGTTTCATCGAGCCCCTATCGACGAGTAGTGAAGGAAACCAGTATAAGTAGAGAGGGGGCAGCATACGATAGGCATCATCGCGAAATAGTTCATCAAGTAAAGCTTGTCAATTGTCAACTGTTTCAGGTTCAATGGTGGCTGCTTATGTTTGGATAGAGAGGTACCATGGAGCGTAATTCGCTCCCTGGAGCTCAGAACTTTTGTGATGGCGGTCAGTTTCAATGGTGATTGGTGAGGTGTGTTGTGTTGTATCGGTTGGTGTGTGGGTTTCGTTTGCAGTGTGAAGTGCGTTGCTATATATGGCTTGTATGAATGAGTTTTGACGGAGACTGCGTCCTAGGCGACGGGCGGTGCGGGGCGTGAGTGGAGCCGTGTTGGGGACTTGGGGGGGGGGGGGGGGGGGGGTGAGGAAGGTATTCAACCCAGCGTGGAGTCCATAACCTGTGAGTGGAGTCACTTGCTTGCCTTCTTTTACTTCGCTCTCGTCGTCGTCGTACCTAAATACTGTTCAGCACTGTAATGCTGTTTGACATTTTGCTCTCACAGAGACCACACAATTTGCAGTCTTCAGTACTGTAATTTAACAAGCTTTGTAAAGGTACTGTAAGGCGGACATTTAGGATAGGGATCGACAATTGGCGGGACGAACAGAAAAATTCACGAGCAGATTGCGTATGGTATCTCTTGACATTTCTAAATACCAACGACTTTATCGGGGGGAAAGAGTGACAGAATACTCACGGCGTCTGTCCGCCACGACGGTAATTGGTTTGTGATACGAAAATATGGTGCTTTGGAGCACTGCAGCTTTGCTCGTCGACTATCTCTTCACGTAGATATGCATACATATATATTGTCTTGCTCTTAAGAACACACCACGCAAAAAGTTACTGCACGCCCAGATCCAAACCATTGACTCGTTCACATATGGCTTTCCGTACATTTTCAATCCCGAACCTTACTCTCCCCAGTCACGCCCACCCTTTCCGTTTACGAGTGGCATGCACCGGATTTCCTGAGCATATCTTTACAATTGACCTCACGGAGGGACAGACAGTGCTCACGGAGGGACAGACAGTGCATGTGCTTTCTGGAATTCCTTGGGACGCTTCATGTGCTCTGAATCGCCTTTGCAGCAACGGCGCCACCGCCAAGCCCTCGTATTTTCGCGCGGTGCTCCATGACTCATCGGTAAGTACAACAATCGTCGCGATTTCCGCATTGCCATTGCTGTCGACCCCACCATGTTTTTCTAACAGGCATTCCATTCTGTTTGCGGATATGCGCTTGGCCATGCACGGTAACGAGCAGCTTTCGTCTCTGTCTATCGGTCAACTCAGCATAGAATGTAAACGACCAAAGCGCCAGTTGTCCTGTCCCTCATTACCTCATCAATTTCCGCCCGTTCGAGCACAGCGCCAATCGCTCTCCGGTAGTCGCATATCTCCAACGCGCATCATCCTCCTAGCTGTCCAGATTCTGCTGTTCTTGGTCTGCCTCTGGATAGCAGCGAGTGCGTTGCCGTTGACTCAACGCTGACGTGTGGTGCCCTGTCTTTTCAGCGTCTCCGACAGGCGATTACTTTGGTGTCGTGTGAGTTCAAAACTTTCTCCTGGACTTGTCCCTGCTACGCTACTCACGGGAAGTCAGCTCCACTTGTGGTTCCAAGCTGCGCTTCGGTTCGTCGTCCGACCCATCCGTAGATGCATCGGTCATTTCCTCCTGACCCTCCGTGCCCGCCGCCATGAGAATGCTCCTGGGATCGCGCCTGTTAAGCAATCGCCCGCAATGTATTCTGAATTCCGTATCGCTCGACCCAAAGTTTCTCGAGATTGCCATCAAGCCCGAGTCTCTGTCGATGGCCAGATCGACGATGCGATCATATTGCCACCTCGAGAACTGCTGCGACTTTCGTATCCTGCGAGCGACGGAGATGGCCTGGTCTTGCAGCATGCGATCTGTACTGATGAGTTCCGGCTCGCTGGTGGACTTTTTCTTCATATGCGAGCCGTCGAGCTTGACGCTCCGCGTGGGGATCGGGTCTTCCTCGTAGCTGTCCTTGCTCCAGAAGAGCCAGGAATTGTCTGCTAGAGCGGACACATCCGAGTCGTTTCGCAACGGCTCGGTGAAATGCGGGGACGTGTAGACGGAGATCTGCTTGATGTCTTCCGGTTCCAAGAACGCGGTCGGGAACGGAGGGGGCTGAGTGTCGGCGATGCAGGCTTTCAGGCGCTGCAGGTTCATGCGATAGATTTTGACGCTTTTCAGCTCGCCGTCTGGGTACTCGACGGCGCGCAGGACCTTGCCAAAAATCCTCGATCGAAGCACGTTGAAGACGATGGACGAACCACCAACCATCTTGAAGGCGCTGTCCGCCTTGCCCAGCATGACGCCGATGGGAACGATCGGGACGACCATAATGACGCAAGTTGTTTTGGTGACTTGCAATCAATGGCAGTGCCTTCGTGAAGCTCACGTCTCACTTTGTGAAGCTCCCGTCTCACGCCATCCTGAAGTGTAACGCCCTGCGCAAGGGCTCTCTCTCGTGGATGATGTCAAGGCTGTAACACGATGAATCTTGTAAAGAAGTACTGTGCCTGCAAGCAAGGAACGCTTCGTCGGCAACCCGATTCGAAATCGCTCGGACTGTGCTGATATGTGAGAGAAGAGCGCGATGGACAAGGTAATGATACTGGGAAGGGCTGCATGTTTGCGCTGTTGTTGCCCTCCCGGCAGCCTCATACTCAAAAGCTTATGCCCTTTACAGTACAGTCTCTTTTTGTTTTCCTCTTATTTTTCGCTCTGACATTGCTGGGGTTCACTGCGATCAAGTCCAAGGCAGCGAATCAGGTGCCGATTTCTTGGCTGAGCTTTTCTTCATTTTCAGAGATGCGCACCTTCGCTTCCAATTCCCCCTTTCGCACGGAGAAAGTCTCGCAGCGATCTGAGCACTTGGCGTGATCTTCGCCGACTTCTCAACCTTGAAACTTTGCACACTGTCTCATCTCTCTTCAATCTACAAGTCTGACGCAACTTGGCCGCCACTGGCGTCTCATATTTAATCCAACCAGCACCCCTCGACATGGCGGCCAAATGCACAGAAGCTGTCCCTGTCGAACAAATTCGCTGGTCTATGCCCACTCCGGAACATGTCAAGTCCATCTTCTCCGGTGTGCTTGAGTCCTCTTCTGCGAAAAACGTCGCGCGCAGCCTAGCGGTGGGAGCGCTCGTAGGGATTGGCCTACGAGGCATGCAGTCCATCGCGACGATGGTTGCATGGCGTCTCAAATTGCGGGACAGTGAGACGGGTGAGCCGGCACCCGGACCGCCTCCGCTCCCGTTTATAGGGAATGTCCTTTCGCTCAGAACAGGCTATTATGAAACGCTGTACAAGTATGTGGACAAGCCGGCGAGCGTGTTCTGGGTCATGTCTACGCCTTTTGTTGTCCTGAATGACGAGGAAGGGCTGCGGAGGGTCCTCGGCGGGTCCAATGGTTTGTATGCGAAGCCCAAGTATTTTGGGTATCGTTCCAAGGCGGTCAAAAATGCTGTCGCGGTTGAGCAGAAGACAGTCGAGAAGGAATCGTTAGAATACAAGAACGATGGTGACACCTCGCGCGTTGCTCTGGAGAACATGGTCATCGACTCGTTGTGGACGATGAAAGTCGCCATGAATGAGTTGTTGACCCTGTTAGCCGAGGCCTCGGAGGAAGTAGCGGCGGACAAGGCGACTTCAGGCACAGCTGTTTTATCGTCTGTCCGCACTGCGATTGTCAAGCTCAACCTCGACGTGCTGTTTGATCTGACGGACAGCTCGATCGGTCCGTCGAAAGCAGAAGATATCAGCAGTATGATCGGGTTTGCGGGAATGGAGTTTGCTCGGCGGATGGTGAATCCCTTCAAGGCGCTTGTGGACATACCCGGAAACGTTCGGTACTTCGGTGATGTGATGGGGCTCATTTCGTTTGGCCGACGACTTTGCCGCGTCCTGGACGACACCGCAGAAGAGAGGGAGGGGTTGGAGTCGGCGCCAGAGGCCGAGGCTGTGAAAAGCACAGCGGGGCTGAGCTGGGTGCACGCGTGGGTGGGCAAGGTTGGAAAGATTGGCAAGCTGGGCAAGGTAGTAGGGCTACTCATGGCGTCGACGCAAACGGTCCCGTTAACGGCGGTTTGGATGCTGCATCTGGTGGCGAACGACGACGGGGTGCGCAGTCAGCTACGGGAGGAGCTGCACGGCATCAGCGTGCGCTCCGCGTGCGATCTACAGTACGACGACCTCGGCAAGCTGCCGCTGGCCGACGCCGTCGTGAAGGAGACGCTGCGGCTGTACCCGCCGTTCCCGCTGATCCAGCGGGAGGCGCAGGGCGCGGACGTGCTGTGCGGGATCACGATCCCGGCCGGCACGCCGGTCTACGTGGTGCCGTGGCTGGTGCATCGCAACCCCAAGCTGTGGAGCGACGCGGACTCGTTCAAGCCGCGGCGGTTTCTGGAAAACGCGAGCCACGGGGACGCGCCCAGCGACTGGGCGTTCCTGCCGTTCGGGCGGGGCGTGCGCATGTGTGCAGGTTCGAAGCTCGCGCTCACTGAGCTCAAGGTGCTGCTTGTGCATGCCGTGTTGGAGTATGACATTGTCAGCGAGGGCCGGGCGATGGGGAGAGGCTCGAGGTTCCCCGAGCTGGGGATGATCCCGGAGGGGATCGATATGCGCGTGAGGAAGAAGACGAGAGGGAGGTGATGTCACGGGTAGGGTTTTAAATGTTGGAGGAATACAGAGGTGTGTACGTATGTACTTCGTAGAGAAGTGCGCGAATGTGTAAGGGGAAGAAAGATTGAAGATGCGGAGAAGCGAATGGTCGGTGTGCTGTCTGGTGTGGACTGGGATGTGATTGTGAGAGTGAGGTGAGACGGCAGAAAAAGTTTTGATGATATTTTTGTTTGGTGTGAATCCGGTCTGGCAGCGGCGACTCGAACCGAACAGCGTTACGGCATCAATCACCAAACTAGGGCGGTAAGTGGTTCGTTCGTTCCACTTCCGCTAGTCGTTTACGGAGGGACATACCCAAGTGCGTGAATACAAACCAGACTGGAGCGAATGCTGCACCATCAAAAAAAAAAAAAAACCCTGCGATGGCGGGGAGTGCCCGGCAACCACGCGAAGCCAGGCCCGACGCAAAGCGCCTTTCACCAGTTGGCGCCAGTAAAAAAAAAAAATCGCATTTTTGGGTGCCAACCGGCATCCGAGGGAACGCCGAGCCGCGCCTGCTAAACTGCACGATATCCGCACGCAGTGATGCCGGTCGGCAGCAGCCGCCCCCATCCTCTCCGTGTAATGTTCGCCGGATAGCACAGCATTGTAGTGTCCATCCACGGTCCGCGCGCATCACCCGCGGTATGAGCTGCAGTGCGGCTCCGAAGGGCAGCGGACCGCATGCGTGGCAATGAGATCTCGCCGTCTGCGCCCACCCCCGCATCACGGCTCATCCTGCCTTGGCGTCTCGCCATCCCCCGCGTCCGCGGCGTCCCCCTCGTCCTTGTCTTCCGCCGCGGCGCCGCGCACGTAGGAAAACCGATACACGTCATCCGCGCAGAGCGGGCACTCGATCGCCTTCGCCCCGCGGCAATAGTAGCACGTAATCGTCCTGCCATGGTACCCGCGCCCCTCACACACGGGGCACTCGACGGCGCGGCGGTCCGCGCAGTACGAGCACGGCTCCGTCAGGGGCTGCTCTG